GTTGTTCACTTCACTGCTTTAGTAAGGGTTCCCACTCCATTGAATGTTGAAAGCGGCCACTCTCTCTTTCGCTGTGATGTGGGAGTTAGTCTCCACTCTCAAGTCGTTGTCATTGCCTATTGAACATAATAGGGTGAAAATGAATTTCGATGGTCAGTCAATTGATCTTACTGTTGATACTGGGAGTGGTCCGACATATTTGGTCTATGGTGGTTGGTATGAAACTCTGTACGGTTCTGGCTCTTGCAAACATCTCCTTACGGGTTGTTACTTCTGCCCGCCCACCGACCCGTGTAACCTTGAAGGCTTGCTCGCTCAAGAAGTATTTAGAATCAAGTACCTCGGCAACCACGCGGTCGACTTTGTGAATCGAAAAGTAGCGCTGAGAGTTGACAAACACACAAGTGTCGAGGTGGAAGTTGGTCTCATGGTTGGGAGTACCCGAGCTAAGTCAGGTATCCAGCCATACGCAATGCTCGGGCTTGGCGTCTCTCCCTCACTCGGGCAGCCGCCGCCTTTTCTGGGGCAACTCGTGAAGAACCGAGTTATTCCCAACTCAACCATCTCAATCCATGCTTCGACGCTCTTCCATAGTACAACCGGAGAACTGATACTCGGCAAGCCTATACCAGACACTAATGACACCATGCTGCTTCCTCTGAACCTCCATAGGGAGGCGCTCGGCATCGTTGCTTCAACAGTTGGAGTAAAGGCCGCCCCAGGCGATGAGTTCACCACCGGAGAGAAGGGGGGCTTCTATGTTAGTATTGATACCGGCAGTGATGTTACTACCGTCCCCGAAGAGGTGTTTTGGATTATTTGGCGAGCTATCCAGAGTGAATTAGGAAGGGACCGGGTCGACGGAGCGGGGGCGAACTGGGCCGTTTTCGCTAGAAAGGAATTGGATGCGTTTATCGATCCCAACAAGCACATCTGGTTCCGCAAGGACGTCATACAACGGCTGCCCGTATTTTCCATCCGAACAGACAGTATGTCCACTCTCGAGGTGCATCTGAGCCACCATGTGCAAACGTGC